TTTTTCTTTTTTAAAATGAAATCATTTGTTCGGTGAGTAATTGTTCAAATCCTTAAGATGAACTAATTGTGCATCTCTTTTGGGTTTAGGGATTGTTCTTTCACAGAATCCATGCCTAGCTCTCTGGTATACAATGTTTAGGTCCCACATTCAACCAATCCTACTTTTATTTCATCTTTTAGCCTTGGCATTCCAGTTATACTTTCTCTTATGCTTGACAGGGTAGCCTCATTTGCCACAAAATGACTTCTAATGGTGATAGGCCTAGAACCACAGTGGCAGCACATGTTCATCTTATTGGGATGCTTTCCAAACAATGACATTCCTTTCATCATTTCGTTTCTGTTGCCAAGACCAAAAATATAGGAAAAGAGTTTGTTTTTCAGGCTCATTTCACTAGAAGAACTCATGGGACTCAGAAGTTGTTTTACTCCTGGATATTGTTTATTACAGTGAAAGAAAGTAAAGTAGAGATAATAAAAGACAAGACCATCAGGTAATTTCTGTAGGATACCAGACATGAGTTACCCAAAGTCAATGGAAGTGTTTGAAGTGTTTTCTGTGAGGAAAGATTTTTTGAGTCTATAATTCCAGGGTTTTTATTGGGGATTGGTAAAATATTAATTGATACATTTTGACTGACCTCATTTACAGAAAGTCAAGTCTCCCTCCAAAAAGCACATATTCACCATAGACCATATTTCACAAACTCTATGGAGAAGCTGGCACAGCATGGCTCAATCTGTCAGAATTTAAACACTCTTATGGGTTAAATACATAGGGGACATTCTAAGGCCTAAGTTCCCAGGAGCTGTCTAATAGTAAATCATATGAATGGGCCTTTTTGCAAATGTGCAGGATTTAAGAAATCCAGGCCTCTTACGGTAAAACTTTCCAAGACAAATAGATTAATTAAAAAAAAAAAAAAACTCACTCGATCTAAAAGAAAATAGGAAATGATTGAAAGTATGACAAAAGATAGGAGAAAAAAACAAAAAGATGACAGACTTAACATGACCATATCAAAGGTGTACTAAATGACATTAAAAGGCAGTGCTTGTCAGAGTAGCCAAAAATAGTAAAACTAAATATATTGTCTATAAGAAACACCATGTGCAAGCACAAAGAGATTCAAAATAAAATTATAGAAAGAAGATGGCCACAGTGGAATTAAAATGGAAATCAAAAACAATAAGGTATCTGGATTATCTCCAAATATTTAGAAAGTAAATAACATTTCTATATCACCTATAAGTCAAGGAAAAGAATCACATGAACAATATTTTTTGAATGAATACTAAATGAAAATTACAACATAACTAATTCAAATTTGTCACATGCAATGAAATTGGGGCAAGGGAATTTTGCAGCTTTAAATGTTTTAAATTAGAAAAGAATATTTAAAATGACTGATCTGAGCTTAGCACTTCAGGTAGAGAAAAGAATAACAATTTGAATACAAAATTTCAAAGTAGAAGAAAATAAATAATAATACAGTGGAAATCAATAAAGAGAGAATGTAAACACAAGAGCAGTTTGTAAACACAAGAGGATTTTCTGAAGCAGTAGATAGTATAATGGTTATGTCACTGGACTCCCACGTGGTCAACCATGGTTTGAGTCTCAGACTCAGAGGCTTGAAACTCACACCATGTGCATGTGAGTATCTGTCCAAAATCCCAAGAGGAAAATGGAGGAGAAGGGATTGTGGAGTGCCCAGCCCCCCAGGGGATGATTTCTTGCTTTTTCTCTCTGGTGAGTGTGTGTGTTCTATAACAAAAATCTCTCTCCCTAAGAATAAAGAGGATTTTCTGAAATATTTTTAAAGATTGATAAAATTAAAGGAAGTCTGATTATAAGAAAAAGACACAATTTACCAATATTATTCTTAATTGTTTAATAAGTAAATATTATTAAATTGTATGCTAATATTCATAGAAATGTAGAATTAAACCAGGTGCCATTTACTATATATAAAATGTGACTCTTATACCATTAATTTAAAAACCAAAAACTGGGCATTTCAAGAGTCCACAGCACACACAAATTCTATCTATATTTTGTAACATTTGATTGACTTTTTTTTTTTAATAAGAGAGAGAGTTTTGCTATAGGGCAAGTGCATTTGTCAGAGAGACAGAAAGACAGAAAGCAAGAAATCCCCTCCCATGGGGGGGATGGCCACACCACAGTCCCTTCTCCTCCATTCTCCCCTCGGGATTTTGGGCATGCATGTAAACGCACTTGGCGTGAGTTTTATGCCACCAGGTCTGGGACTCGAACTGCGGTCAACTACATGGGAGTCCAGTGATGTAACCATTCTGCCATCTGCTGGTCCCTTGATTGATTTTTTTTCAAAAGAATTATTTTATTTAACCTTATTTGTTTATTTATTTATTTATTTCAATTTGATCAGAGAGGGGCAGAGTGAAAGAGAGAGAGGAATTGAGAAAGGAAGCCGCTGGGTCCAGGATTCGAACTGCAATCAGCCATGTGAGAGTCCAGTGCCCTTAACCACCACAACGCTTGCTGACCCCCCTTGATTGATTTTATAATTTCAGTTATAAAAATTTTTCTTGTTCTGGGACCAGCAGTTGGCGTAATGGCTACGTCCCTGGACTCCCATGTAGTCAACTGCGGTTTGAGTTCTGGACCCAGTGGGTTAAACTCACA